CTTGCAGCGTCTCCCTTGTAGCTGGTTGCCGTACAGGGTTGTATAGCACAAATTTTGCGCAAATCCGGTTCACCGGAGGCGGTGTTCGGTTTTCAGCCCGAATCCCAGGCAGAGGGGAGCAACTGCCGAGCTCCTTGCCCTGCAGCCTGTGTCGGCCACGCGCATCGAGCAGGTGCCACAAAGAAGCATCTTTGCTCTGCCGGCATTTCGGTCGGTTGACCTTGGTCTTGGTCATGATTCGGGTGTGTTTGTGTTTTGGGTCCTCTGCAGCCCCCAGCACATTGGAGTGCGTTGGGTGCCAGGCTCAGCTCTACGAGCAGGCCCTACAAGCGTACTCGCAGCAGCAGTTCTCCGAGGTGCGCCAGCTTTAAGGCACAAGAGAGAAGGCAGGAAGGAAATGAAGGCACTGCCATGTCTCCACGAGCATGACAAGCTCACCTGCTTCCTGTCCGCAGCACTTTGTGTGGCCATGTTAGATGAGATGTCTTTCGCAGAGGCTGTGGCCATTCTAGTAAAAACGGACGAGAGAGCGATGCAGGCGACCCAACTGGCTGCGCAAGTTTTGGAGGCTCAGTTTTGGTGCGGGGCCGGGCCGGGCCAGGTGCGTGATCCCAGGTCCCTGCTCCAAATGCCAAAAACACAAGGCAGGTAGCTCCCGGAGAATGGAGAATGTAGAAACCTCCCTGCGCAACTGAATTGCTGTTGCAGGATCGTCCTGAAGACGTCGCTGCACAGCGCCTCCTGAAGTGCTCTTGCTGCATTTCCTGGAAGAAGGTTCAGTTCAGCTCCGTCAAATTGAAGGGTCGTATACACTGCCTGAGTTGCCCTGTAGCCGTGGGAGCATGATCTTCCAGGCTATCGGGCTGCGATACTCCATTTTAAAGGCACGTCCGCATGTTGAAAGAGAGATACGCGCGTCCCCCCTCACCAGGCGGTCGGCAAGCTTAGCAGCCAAGGCCCGCCGGCTTCGCCAGTTTCTCTCATTGACTTTGCAGTTTTGCGGGCTGAGGCTGAGAGAGTGAGGCACAGCACATTCGCGTTTTGGGATAGCACCCGTCGCGTCCCAGCAATCAAGAGCCAGACACATACTCGTGAAGACCAAGTAATTGTAAACGCTTGCGCGTAGCGCCTCGGCAGCCGGGCCGGCCCAGAGCATGCAGTATGTGGAGATAACGCCTGGAGGCGCCCTCTAAGAGCTCCCGTGCGTTGAGGCAGGGCGCGCAAGGGGTTCAAGGGGGGTCCCACAAGGCCCAATGAGTTCCCCACGGATGAGGGGGGATTTCGTGAATTTTGTAGGAGCCGCCGACAGGCGGGACCCTCCACAGCATCGGTTTGCAGCTGCTCCAAGCGATCGGGGGGGTCCCACAAGGTGGGGGGGGGGGGGCTGCGTCACAAAATTCTGCTTACAAAAAACGGGTTGGGGGGGGAAGGAGACCGGATCCGGGTCTGCTTGTTCCAGACGCTTCTCGGCAGGAAGCCGAGGCGAATTTCAGGTATCTGCAGCCTCCTTCAGGCACAACAATCCACAAATTCAATCCTGCAACCGGCCGGCTGCAGCTAAACCTGCTCGGAAACCGTACGCCGTAGGTGAATCTTGAAGCACTTGGGAGCCCTGACATGCGAAAGCCCATGCGGGGCACAGCCCACACAGTGTCTACGCGCTGTTCTACACAGGCTGCAAGTGGGCCAGAAGACCCAGAGCTCCTCCAGGACCTTCGCCGGGAAGAAGCTGTTACTTGGGATGTCGCGTTTCGGGTTCAAGACTTCGGCTTCAGGATTTGCCATGTAGGCACCATGGCTCAATGATTTGTTTGAACTGCAATGCCTCTTACAAGTAGCTAAACGTTCCGACGATGAGAAAGATGTATCGCAAGATGTTAACCAGATCATTCTGATATATGACATGTGCAACCCAGTGCTCATATTTTTTTTGCGCACGTTTTGTTTTTGAGCTTCGCTTGCTGGACCTGCTGGATAACCGTGAAACAGTGCTTAGCTTTCTCAGTCCTGAAGCTGCCATCTCGTTAGCTTGTACCAGGCGCTGGGCGCAAGCCCAACCATGTGGGTTACGGATCTTTCTAGTTCTTACCCATCATCCATACTGGCAGGAATTAGCTGCTTGGACAGCTGTTGTGAGCATCACTGAGAAGTGAGCACGTGCATCACTGAGAAGTGAGAAAGTTCTCTCGATTTAGGGCAAACCCTGAGACCTTAAACTACTTTCGTTCAACCCCACGAATTGCTCAGCAATCAAGGGTGGAGGGTATGCCAAGCTGCAATCTGAGAAGTTCTGAAAGCTGACATGAGCATTTGGACTTTGGGTCTACAGTGTCCGTGGAGTCTCCGAGTTCAGCTTGTCATGCATTGCATTGCAATGTCCTCCCTAAACCCTCAACCCTGAACCCTAAGCCCTAAACCCTAAACCCTGAACCCTGAACCCTGAACCCTATAAACCCTGAACCCTAAACAAGATGAGAACCCTAAATCGCCACCTTAGGCCCTGAATTCGGGGTCCCAAGCTTACACAAGGCTTGGGCGCCCTGGGCTCGGCTTAGCCTCCGCCACCGATGCCCCTTTCAGGGTTTAGGGTTAGGGTTTATAGGGTTCAGGGTTCAGGGTTTAGGGTTTAGGGATACTGACCCTTATTAAGTTATGTTAAATCTGAGTCAGGTACTTCTGACTTGTGATTTCTGGTTGGAACGAAGTGGTGTTCTGCCCACGTCCTTGGTAAGGTCCTAAGATCCAGTGCTTCAATGTATGCTCGAACTTGTTGGGTTGGGAAGACGCGGAGTGACATCGAGCTCGCCACCAGGGGTCTGATCTCGTCATGTCCCAGATTTGGGGAGCACAGGCGGAGCGGAGCCTGGTGCATGTATCTGCAAGCTGGTGTTTGTCAAGGCAGCCTTCCTTTTGGGGGGGCGGCTTTAGCATCTGTTGATAAACAGCCAGGTGACTCACTTCACCGCCTCAACTTGCGCGTGTGCCAGAGTCGCTAGAGCACCTCGATGCTGCAAGCGCAAGGGAAGTGTACGGCGATCTTCCGAAAAATCACTACAGTAGTGTTTGGAAAGCGCAACGCGCCATCGTGTAGGTAGGTATAGCCAACAAATAAGCCCGTGATGAACATGGATACATCAAAAGCACTATGAAGCATGTATGGAGACATACTTATGGTACATGCACTAATTCTTTCATCGCAGGGCAACTCTCTACGCGTAGCCTTCTTTTTGCTTTGAGTGGATGTGGTGGCTGTCCTGCGATGATATGGTTCGGCAGAGGGTCAAACTCGGAGACTGACATGGCGTGTTTGGAGGCAGCCCTCGGCAAATTGGGGATCGCAGGGTATGTCAATCTTGCTTGTTGCCACAGTTTCTTATATAAATACATACTATATATGTATATATATATATATATATTAGCGTCTGCAGGTGCCAAGTATTTGCTGATTTTTCGCCTCAGGTGACGACGGTTGCGAGTCATGATTGGGGGTTTCTCGAGGATGGCTAGCCCGACAAGAAAGATCACGGATTGTCTCCAACGACGTGCAACATGCATTGAGTGGACCCCGATCTAGACTCATCCATCGATCGCTGCCTCCGGCGAGACCTGATTGGTGTTTGCTCAAAAGCTCAATAACGGCGGGGTCATCGTCTCCAATGACCGAGCAGCATTAATTGAGTCGACTCTGACTCTGATCTACAGTGCGCTAAAGCGAGACCTGGCTCTGCGACATAGCTTCCGGTAGCGCTTCGTCTTAGGTTGCTTTGTTTGAGAGCCAGGTCTTGGAGTCTTGGATCGCGATCATGCTTAACCGATCCAGAGAGTGCAGCTTTTCATCGGCCCTTCTGGCCGTTGAGGCTCCATTCAGGCAATCTTGAAGAGATTGTCTGAGGTGGGCTTTGTCGACTGTAAAGGTTTGTAAAGAGGGTGCAGAGTGGGCGGCTTACGAGCTCGATGGCGCCTTAGCCACAACTACACCACCTTCTCGCCGGTAGTTCGTGTTGGCTTTGCTGTTCAGGGTTTGGGCGGGGGGGGGGGGGGGGGGGCGGGAGGTTTGGGGTTTCCTCTCTCCCACTTTTGGGCGGTAGCTTTTGGGGATTTTTGGGGTTATTTGGTTACGGGCGGGCAGGTTTAGGGTTGAGGGTTCATGGGGGTTGGGGGAGAGGAACCCGGGGTCACATATTCATGCCGTGTGCAAGTAAAAGCCTCCAGAAACGAAGTAAGCTGCAAGCTTGATTTCGAGAGTGCCGCTGGGGCTCAGGCCGTCTGCACCCGTCTCTCTAGAGCTGCTCGAAGTTCTCTGAGGGGGCGGAGCCCTCGCAAGGAGTTTGGCACTCTTTCTATCAAAACTCCCATACTTAATGACAAGCATGCTCAGGTTGTTCTGCGACGTGATGCTAACACACCTGATTCACCTCGAATGGTACTGCAGACCTGCCTGTCCGAAATCCCTGAATTCACTTTTGAACGTTCCTAACTTTGGACAGTCATTTCTTGACTAGTTTCCTACCGTACTTCGTCATTGTGCCTTGACTGCGTTACAGTTCTGTAAGGGTATTTGAGGGCTTAAGCCATCAAATCCAAGACGCAACTGGCCGAACTCCAGATCTTTTGAAGGAGGAAGGAGTGGCAGCCTTCGCATCGCTGGCACTGAGACTTGCGATGCAATTCCCTCGTCTGAATACCTTGCGTGTGACTTTGCGTGACGGCAGCGGCTGCTTGACGACCATCAAGCTCCTGTTAACTGTTGTTGCCGCAGCAGCATCTGCGCGGCACGGATGACGTGTTGAAAGAAATTGCTTCCGGGTCCAGGTGTGTTCCGAGATTGCCAGCTCGTTGTGCGTCGAACCCATGACTAGCCCATAGTTGTATGGAAGTGTTTGGACGACGTTGTGAACCCATGAGCTTGGTTTTCAATGGTGTGAGGCTCTTGGCAGCCAGCTTTTCAGCATGAGTGTCCCGGTTACTCGTTCAGGAAGCCTTGCGTCCTTGCTTGCCAGGTTCTCTCAGTCCTACGTTGACACGAGCGCCCGTGAACTGTATCGCTGCGATCGTGAGATCATGCGACCTTCCGGGGGTCACGTGTGGTGACCAGATCCACAGCATCCAGGTAAGTTTGAGAGGCAGCATAATTCTCAGCTTTCACATGATTAGAGTTTTGAGAACTCGCAGACTGTGATGTACCGGTCCAGCTGGAAGAGGAACGGAAGCAGCTGTAGCCAGTCCTGGTTAGCCCGGTCATGCTCCTTGACATGGTATGGGTTCGTAAAGGCGCATTTCGGCGGGTTCAGATGAGGAAAGAGAAGCAAGTTGCATTAGGGCTGCCAGAGCGCTGGCGCGTCCCGTCCAGGACGAATGAAACGCAAGCTCTCCTAAACTACGCCCAGCTTAGGCCTCTAGGGACCGTGCCAGAATTGGAGTGCTCGGTTTGAAGAGGTACATGCTGGAAATGCTCATGCGTCCATATCCTCGGCGGCAGATCTTGGTCACAGAGGATGTGCACTTGGCGAGGTGCACGAAGCTTCCAGGTCCATGTTGACGATGGTAGAGGCCAAGTTTGAGGCAAAGGTAGCAAAAGTGGGTGGGTAGAGGGGTAGTGGCAGTGTTGCGAGGTTTAGGGTCACGCGGTCACGTGGAGGCTAATGGAGAGTATAACGAAGCGAGAGTCATTATCGGGCGACTGATGCTGAGGTCGGACATTGCAGAGGAAACAGTTTTGCAATTGAATTGAAGGACCGGAGAACCCCACATGTCCATGCTTTTCTTGGCTGCGCGGATGGGGAGGGAGGGGAGGGCGCGGTGATGGTGACGTGCCGTGATCGGCGCGCGGATGTATCTGCACATATTTATCAGTATGTCTGTGCGTGTGCCTATTACAACTCGAAATGCCGCAAATCAATCAGAGCTTACATGATTCCGAGCAAGCAGGAGTGACAAACATCCTCGAGAGGTGCGTTGAGTCAAAGCGCCAAACGCCGAACCATACCGAACCTCAACCGAACCCCAAGTGTTTGCTCACTTCACGGCCAACTCGGCCTTCAGGGAAGCGGACAATTATTGCCACGTGCGGTCGGCGAAGTGGCTAAACGAGGCAGGGCCCCAGAAACCGAAGTGCATTGGAGGGCCTGCGGACGAGTAGGTTGGGGTGGCGGCTAGCGTCCGCAGTAGTTCATCAAGCCTCATTGCGAGTAAATCCTTCACCCCAGCGTGGGATCTGAGACGAAGCAGAAGCTGGCTTACATTGTTAAGTTATGGTTGATTGGCAGAGATCGTGGGGAAGAGGTACTGATGATTTGGGGGTCATAGGGTTGAATTGCCTTAGCTGCAGAACTTGCAGCATGGCCAGTGGGAACCTAAAGGTGCATCTAGGTTGAATCACCCAGGGTTCGCGGAGGAAGGCAAACACCCATGGGCCGCGACCCGTCAACGCTTCTGAGTTGCACTTGTAACACTGTGGGGGGAGAGCACATGTTGGCTGCAGGAGTTGCTGAAAAGCGGCCCAGACGGAGTCCTTGCCAGCGAGGCTTCCGAGAAGATGAGTGTGACTTCCTTAAGGGGCTCTGCTTCTCAGGTGCTTCTTAGGCGCTTCTTAGATCTTCTTAGGGGCTTGATCCTCGGCAAGTGTACAGGTCCGGAGGTTTGGAACCGCGCCGGCCTCCCATAAGCCATAAGTTCTTTCCTGTACCTCGACATGCGCAAGGGCTTGCAACAGTCGAGCTGCAAGCTCTATCAACTGCACTGACGGAGCTTTAAAGACAAAAAATCGCCTGGCATATGCGCAGACATGGCGCATACCTGTTTTGTCATCGCAGTTGCTTAGTGCAGAACACTCACGACTCATGCCTGCCGGCATGGAAGGCCCTTCTGTCCGTCGAGTTTGACTTCGAGCCCATCATGCGGGAACTTCCCAAGGTGTAACAGATCGGATAGCTTTGTGATTTTTGCCTGCAGGTCCCGCGGCTGCCTCCAGATCGGCCCAGCATCCAAAAAACATCAGAAAGTCCCAGTCATCAACTCAAGCCCCCGTGGCCTCGATTCCCTTGTTGCGGCATTGTAGGTTCCGAAGAACTCATGATAACTCATGTACAAGTGGGTCAGACAGAGGAGTAGGTGAATAGGTTCTTCAGACGATTCTGACCAAGCACGGGGTTGCGCATCGACAGTCCAGAACTGCGCAAGCCGATGATTTGCCCAAATAAGCAAGAGTTTGTGCGAGTTTGTCCAACGTTATGTCTCCTGGTGAACCTCCCCTTGGGCAGGGCGTCCAGAGGGCGTTTGCTGCACGCTGAGCCGGCGCTGTACCTCTCTGAAGTCTCAACCTCCAATCCTTCAAATCCCTGCAGCCTTCAGGCCGTATGCATAGCATCGTATAGTGCGATTTCACAGGCGGCACATAGGCCACACTCCCATGCAGTACAGCCGGGTACGACTGGAAGGCGCTCATTGTGCGACTGTTAGCTCCTCTTGCCAAGGCTTAGTGAAACGCTTAGTGGCTAAGCACTATACATACCTTGAGGGTTGGACGCCAAGACCTTCAGAAAGAGGTAGCGCAAGAAAGGGAACAAAAGCTGCACGCGCGATGTGCCCCTCGGGAAACGTAGACGCTTCATGTCGAGAAGCCTGCGACATAGCTGGGTTCATAGTTCCCATACACGGTCTCATGTAACTGGCTGCGAGGGGGCACGGAGTTGTTCACGAACAGTTTTGGGGATGCAGCCTTCAATCATTCCTGAATGCATGGCAGAAGGGTTCTTGTTGAAAGAGTTGGGGTACCAAAATCGTCGCCCTAGCGTCTGCGAAGCATCCACAAAGCGTCCGCGAGTGTCGCTCGGTAGCTGTAGCTGCGGAAGCCTGCGTGTTGGCATCAGACCGTCTCGCATGATCGCGCACGGTCGCTTGTCGGCATCCGCAAGCCACCTGGGGGCACCAGAAGACTCGTCACGACTCGTCATCGGGGATCTCTTGCGACGATTGGTAGCTCGCACACTTGCCCAACAATTTTCCCAGGCCGATTGCCCTGGCATGCAGCCCCCACCAATGGCCGAGCCCGGCTCCCATATAGCTCGGGGTACGTTTGCCGTCGTTTGCGCCTCGCTGCGATGCGGACGGCCCAATCCGGGTGGTTGTCCACGCCGTCATGCGGGCGTCCATCTTGGGCCACGGGCTGACGAGGGTGGCGTCAACGGCAAGTTGTGCCCCATGCCAAAGCGGCAGGCCGTTACAAACGACTTCGATGCGCCACGGATCGTGGACCGGCACATCGATGTTCATGGCGGCCAGCGCGACGTCGTTGCCCGCGTCCGAGTTCGCGTCCCGCCACGCCGGCCTCTGGCACGCGAGTGGGACGCGAACTACTGGTAGGCTGGTGTCAGCAACTCGCTGCCGTCAGCAACTCGCAGCGTGTGGTGGGGGTTTGGCAGGGCTGGGTCAATGGCGGTTTGGCGGGGTCACAGAGGTTAAGTGCTTGCAGCGGCCGTCGCAAGTCCTCAATAAGCCGCTCGAGTGCGCCGACTACAGGTGGGCCTAGGAGCAGCGTCAGCAGGACCTGCAAAGGAGCCGCGAGATAATGACCCTAATTCTGCACCGCAATTGCGGAGAGCAGCTTAGCGAGGGAAATGATGTGTGGTTGTCACGGCCCAACCCAATCTCGAAAGCGGTGGAGCGAGGGGGACAACTGCACGGACGAGGCGAAAGCGCGTTCCACATGCGCGACACCAGCGGCAGGTTCTTGCACGGGCAGCAAAGGCCGTGCGAGCAGGGCAGCTACCGTATGGGGCCACAAGGCGCCGATCACGGGATGCGCACGCCACACACAGCGGGCCACAGGACGCAGAAGGAGCAATTCGGGCAGTTTCACGCGTCGTGTACTCGGAACCTTTTTTTCCGCGACCGCGTGTTGCTGCCTTGTCGCCCGCTCATCGTGCTCTTATGCGTTCACACAGGCTGGGCCCCATGCCGGCGCATGGCTCACGGCCATCCCAAGTGACCCCCACACTACGCTCTCCCCGGTGATGATGCAGATCGCACTGAGGCGATGCCTTCGCCTGTCACTTCCGCTGGCCGCGCGGCGTTGCGGCGGGCATGGCGGGCAGTCCATCCCGGGGTGTGGCCGCTTCGTCGATGAGCACGGTGACCTGGTTTGCTGTCGCACGCGCGGCTGTCGGCCCTGAGGGCCAGGTGGTTTGTTTTGCCGCAGCCGTAGCTGGCAGTACCACCAAGGGACCGTCAGCACCTGCTCGTCGTGTAGGGCGACCCCGTTGGCAGGAGTGCTTTGCTGCGACGCAAGCACTGAGCACGGTGGGGCCGCAAACCGCGGGGGGGCGTGCTGTGCACGGCCGAGCGGCGCAAACGAGCCACCTACCCCGAGATCGCACAGGATAGGGCGCAACAGCTCTGCGTGCTCCCCGCCACAGCGCAAGAAACCTTACTGCAGGTGTTCTTGGGACAGCAAGCGGCATCAGATCTGGAGCAGCGCCTATCCCGTGCTAGGTCTGTTGGAGCCGCCCGCCCACCCGTACGACGGCGTACGCGTCGGCGAAGCGGCGAACCCCGGCCCGCCAGATGACGTTGCAAACCGCCGCGACCGCACGCTGCATGCCCTGGCCCAAATGGGACTCCTCCCGCCCACAGCGCCTCTAGCCTCGGATGCGGAGACGCTTTCCGACACCCTTAGTGCACACGCCATTGGCATCGCCACGTGGGGGCCCCCTCACGGCCGAGGCGCCAGCGTTTCCGCCAGCACTCCAGGAGACGCGCCCCCAACAGCGCCCGGCCAAACGACGCCAGGTCCAGCGGCCCCGAACTAGCCACACGGGGCCGCCCCACTTGGCTTTGCCGCTGCCCGCCTGGGCGGCCGGAAGGGTGCAGAAACTCCTGGTTGTACGTTCCCTTGTTGCATGCGGCTGTGGGCACGCTTTCCTCCGAAATCACATCAGCATGGGCACAGCACCCGCTCTGCGGCGAGCGCTGGTGCCGACTGGTTCGCGCACTCGCCGGCGCGGCGGCGCTACTTGTCGAAAGGCTGGCTGCCCTGCTGTACGCGTTGGCGGAAGCCGAGGAATCCGAGGACGCCACCCCTGCAAGCGCCGAAGCGTCGGGGGGACAACTCAGCCTGCCTCCCTTTCAGCCGCGCACTGGCATGCCTCGTGGATCGCGAAGGCTATGCACCGGCGCTGACCCAGGCGGCATTGCTCGAGGCGTACGGAGGCCACGCCGTTGCAGTCGAGGCCGCAGCGCTTTCTGAGACTTTTCGCGCTGGCAGCGTAGCGCGGCCCGCCGACGACCACGCCGCGCCCCCGCCGCAGGGCACGTGTGCGACGCGCCGAGGCCACGCAGGGGCATGACCGCCCTGTCATGCAGTGACTTGAAGCTCTCCTGACACCTGGCGAGGCCGCTGCGTTGCCGTTGCTTGCTGTTGCGGGCGCCCACGGCCTATTGGGCATCCTGGGCTGATGCGCTCAAGGTCATCGCCCATCGCGAGCCCGCGTTTGCTGAGGGGCTTCTCGATCGGGACTGTGCTACCTCACTGTAGTAAATTTCACCAAGCCTCTTTGCATGTGCGTGAACAAGTGCAACCAGGCCTGCCAAAGCTCTCAGGCTGAAGCCGCGTTCAGGGCGTTCGCGCAACCAAAAATGTTGAATCAAGCGTGCTGCGGACGCGATAATAACACGCAGCAGTGTTTACAGTTTACATCGCGAGAGAGTCGAACTGGTCAGCTCATCCAGTCACTGCAACGCGCGCTGTAACACAAGCCAGACTCGGATTGCAGACCTGTGAAGGCCAGGCGACGCAGGACTCGGGCTTTGAGAGGGGTGGGGGACATTGTGTCCCTGTAGCATCAAGATGAATGTTGGAGGTCAGCCTCAACAAGCAAGTCATCAAGAACTCAAGCAAAGGATATGCCGATGCAAAGGCAGCTGCCAAGGTAGTTTCTGCCCCGATGCGCCCGACTCAGACACGGAATCTTCTCCTCAAACACCTCAAGTTCTGGTGTCGCTGCCGGATGTGGTGTCACGAGCTCACGATGTCATTGTTCAGCGCCCTGAAACCCTGAGATGTTTCTGGTTGAGCCCTTGTCGCAGGGCCTTCTTGATCTTTTGGACGGATGTCCAGCAGGTTACTCGTCTGCTGACAGCAGATCATATCAGTGCGTTCGAAAAACTTGTGGGGCCGGCAGCGAACCCCAAATGACGCAAATTTACAATGCTAATTTTCGGCGCTGGAAACACCGGGGTATTGTGTCTTGCAAAGCTGGCGCGTTGCGATTTATACTGTTCTACTGTCAAAGCTTACAGGCCCAGCTGTCCCGCCTTGGCCCCTATGTTGCAGCTGCTTTGTAGCTGGCGTTGTTTGTCAAGCCCGCAAAGTCATGGTTCCGCTGCGTTTGCGCTGACAGGCGTCGTTGATGGTCCTCGACTGCCTTCGTGGCATGGTTGGCTTTGAAACTCGGATATGCATCGCCGGAGTCTGTAAAGCGGCGGAACTTCTAGTTTTTGGCGGACGCCGGCGCGATGTCCCACGACTCCCCTCGAAACTTCGTCGAAACTTCCTCGAAACCTCCTCGAAACCTCCTCGAAACTTCCTCGAAACTTCCTCTTCCTGGTCCTTTCACCGGCCTCCTTGGATGCTCCTCGACGAAGCCACCCCGAGACTTCCTCCAAACCTCCTCGAAACCTCCTCGAAACCTCCTCGAAACTTCCTCGAAACTCCTTCGAAACCTCCTCCAAACCTCCTCGAAACTTCCTCGGAACTCTGGGTGGCTGCCGAGGAGCGACAACGCAAGCTTGGCAGAATAGGTGAGAATTTTGACGCCAAAGGCCGCCAGCAGCGCTAAGCCAGCCAAGGCGCCCCAACCCTTGTGAGAGAAAAAAAACGGGTCCCGAATTGACTGGCCTCCGCGCCTATCGTGTTTTGGTTTGCTGCGTTGAGAGAGGTTGTTGCATCCAAACTCGCTTGCGCCGCTTTTGCCGAACAACATGTAGATGGCTTCAAAGAAACAAGTTGTCTTTTTATCGTCATAGCACTGATCGAGCGCAACGTGCAGAAAGGAATGTTCTCTTCGAGTTACATGCGTGCTGCAATTTGTAGAACCTACCTCCAAGATGCGGACGTATGCGTATGGCAAACATAGGAAAAGCAAAACCTCATCCAAAGTTTGTGGCAGCCTTCCGAAGGCGAGCCGAACCTTGACAAAGGTCCCTGCCCCGCAAACAATTCAGGCGCGCCAAAACCTTCCCAAACCCGTAGCAAAAAAACCTGCTCCAAAGTATCTTGGGCCCAAAGACCTGCTCTTGCGGGCCTAAGAAAAACAGCGAACCGAAAGGGCTAGGGGCCCTGGTTTGGACTGTTGTTGGTCAAAAACACCGTAGAATCACAGACCGACTGAGCCTTGGATGTCCCGCGCGTCTCAGAAATCAAGTTGCGGGGGCAGCGATGAATGAACTATGATTCCACCTGATGATGCGCGGAAAGCAAGAAGTACCGGGTGTGCATTCCCACGCGTGCAAACCATTCACTACGATTTCCTTTGATGATGCGTGCAAAGCAAAAAGTACCGGGTGTGCGTTCCGACGCACGCTAAACCTTCAAACGCGAAGTCCGGCAGTGCGTCCTAACACCTGCCAACTTACACCTAGTTGGCAAGTTCCGCATGCCCGAAAGTTAAGCCTACGGGTGAAATTTACTACCTCACTGTCGGGCTCTGGCTATGATGTGCCCGAGTGGTCAACGCTTGCTAGGTCTGACCCGCCCCCACCCGCCGAGGAGGTCGGCCTCGAGGTTTCCAAGGGTTGGCAGCGGGAAGCCTAGGGCGGTTGATGACTTTTGTCGCAGGGCCTTGCGCAGCGAGCTCGATGAGGCGTCGGTCGCGCTGCTGGATTTGCAGTCGGGCCCATGCGCTGCTCGCTTTTTCTTTGCTCGGCCCACCTCGCCTGAGCTGCAGCTTGAGTCGTCGATATTCCGTGTTTTGCTTCTGCGCCGGCTTCGCCTGCCGCTTCCGCTAGCTGCAGCTGCTTGCCGATGCCGTCGCGCTATCCTCCGCCGCCGAGCCGAGGCGGCTACCGATGGCCTTGGAGGCTTACCTTGTCGTTCTCGACATTGAAGGCGGTGCTCGCCCGCTGCCGTGCCCGGGCTGCGCCCCCATCATCCCGCGCTGCCAGCACGCCTGCCTTCGCACTCCGATGGTCAGCAATCCTTTCCGTTGCAGCTGCCAGGTCCTTCGCAGCCAGCCTTCTTGCTTTGCCCCTGGTCGGGACCTCCTACCTCGATGGGGATGCGCCGCTCCTCCAATCTTTGTAGACTCGTCCGAGGGTCCTCCCCTTGCCAGCCGCTTGGCCATAGTCGTCTGCCCGCCCCCCACTCTCGCCCCCCGATCACGTAGGTATCTGCGATGCCACCTGCACTGGGACCGCGATGAACGTTGGGCAAAACGGCGTGCTAAAAAAAATGCAGCCACTTTGGCATGCCCCGTCGACCCCAGCGCGTCGACCCCAGCGACGGCGCCGAGGTGCCCATCGGTGACCTGCTGGTGGAGCCGCTGTAGGTGCCGACCCGGTTGGCAGCTTGGTCAGGATCCATCTTGGCAGAGGGTGGACACTCGTGGGTTTTGCAGATATACTTCTTCAAATACCGGTTCATGCGGCCCTCGATTAAACCAAAGAGGCCTATGACTCCACCGCGTTGCACGCACCAGGCAGCTGTAACAGGCAAAGCTTGACCGATGCACGTCAGAAAGAGGCCCGAGCCGTCGGCGGCCTGACAATCGAGGGCACGTGCTTAATTATCTTCGCAGTCTTGCAAGCCACCTAAACTTAAAAAAAAAAACCTTAACCCAAATGAATTAAACTTAGAACTTACAACCATACACCTGTCACCACACGTGTGAAAATTGCAGTTGGGTTGTGGTGTTTTGGACCTCATGATGGATTGTGTTGTGTTTTTGACTCTTTGTCCATACAGACCATAAGATCGACGATGACATCCTTGGCTGAGGGTTTAAGGCTTCGACGGCAAGATTCGAGGAAAGGCTTGAGCCAAGGAAAGGCTGCTCGTCCCGAGGTTCACACAGTGAGCCATGGCACCGTCTCCTGGCTTCCTGCTCTGGGGCTTGTGGTGGTTGGGGACAAACGATGCAGCGACCTGGGAGGGGGAATGCTCCGACTCCATCGGGCTGATTCCCGATAGCTTGGGCAGACGTGACAGGCGTCGCCTCACCAAACTGCTCAACGCACAGGTGTCTTGCCTGGTGACGCCCTTGCCTGTATGGGATCCTTTGCTTGGTCTGCGAGGTGGGGCGGTGGTGATACGGTGGCGCCGACGGCGTGGGCATATGTGTGAGCGGCAGAGGACCACTTGGCAGCGGCAGCCGCAGCTGTCCTTCTGGATGGGATGGCCTCTGCGAGGCCGGCGCGTGGGCGAAGCGAGCCATCCCGGGCCTGAGCCAGGAACACCTATCGGGTCTGAGCGCCCGCCCCGCGAGCGCTCACCGCCTCCTCGAGCTCCCGCTCATGGTGGCGCCGGTGCTGCGCGGGGCGGGCGCACTTACTGCCCTGTTGCCGGATGCCCGTGCTCTGACCCGGCCCGTGCTCGCGGTTGGGCGAATGAGAGCTCAATGCGTGCCCATATTGATGCGCATTTAGCTGGTTCACTGGATGGGGACGTGCCCACTGCCTGGATGCAGGCCCGTGGGCGCATCCGCTGTCCTGTGTGTGGGCTCAGCGTGTCGGAGCGCTATGGCGTCCACCCAACCTGCCGTCCAGAGGCGAGGGCAGCTGCCGTGGATGACGTCGACGCCATGGAAGTGGACGGCTTGCCTTTGCCTACCCTGGCTGCCATACAATCTGCACGCACGTCCACCCTCCGTCACATCCCAATGGCTGCGCGGCACGCCTGGAACCAGGTTCTCACTCGGGCGCTAGCTGCTGTGGCCCACCGCAATGATGTCGCGACGTGGCTGGAGCTTCTGATGCTGCCACAATGTGTGCTGTGCGCGCCGGGGCGCGGGGGTCGGCGACACCGCAAGGCTGCTGCTGCCTTCACTCTTGACAGGCTTCAGCGATGGCAAGAAGGCGAGCGCCTCTCACTCTGGGAGTCCAGGCCTCGCCGCCGGCCCCCACGGTCCGGACCATTGACGCCCGAGGAGCGCCGGGACATTGCCACCAGCTGGGGGCGTGAAGGCTTTGATCGGAAGGCCTGCGCTGCCCTCATGTCTAAGGGTCTCTGCCCTCAAACCGAGGAAACTGCCAGAGCTCTTGCTGCCCTCCACCCTCACCGGCCCTTGCCTTCCACACCGGCCATGGGTGACTTGCCAGTCCCTCCTGCTTTGGCCCCGGAGTTGGTTGCCCGCTGCTTGCGAGCTTTTCCAGTTGAGACCGCCCCAGGCCCAACAGGACTTCGCGTGCAGCACCTGCGGGATGCTTGTGTTGCGGGTGGGGGTGACAGCTTCATGGCTCAACTCGCCGATGTGGTCAACCTCATGGCCCAGGGGCGGGCCCCTGCAACTATAGCTCCTGTGCTGGCTGGCGCAGGGCTTGTGGCATTGCCTAAACCAGCTGGTGGCGTGAGGCCAATTGCGGTTGGCGAGCTGCTCCGCCGCCTCACGGGCAAGTGCTTAATGGCAGTGGTCAAGGATGAGGCACGTGCTTTCTTTTGGCCTGCTCAGGTAGGCGTGGCTGTCAAAGGAGGTGCTGAAAAAGCTGTGCACGCCGTACGTGCGTGGAGTGCCAGGCATTCTGGCTCGTCGCATAAAGCTCTCCTGAAGCTTGACTTCCGCAATGCCTTCAACTGTGTGAGCAGAGAGGAAGTGCTTAAGCAGACTGTCGTCCACTTCCCGGCCCTGGCCCGCTGGGCTGCTTGGTGCTACCGTCAGCCGAGCTGCCTGCAATTCGGTGACCGCGCCTTGGAGTCGTCAGCTGGTGTGCAGCAGGGAGATCCCTTGGGACCCTTGTTGTTTTCCTTGGCCTTGCAACCGCTGGCTGCGGAGCTGCGGTCGGATTCTCTGGACCTTGCGGTGCACTTTCTGGATGACGGGGTGCTCGCTGGCGACTTTGCCCCCTTAGGGGCTGCGCTCCGGCTTGCCCAAACGCGTTCTAGAGCCATTGGCCTGGAGCTCAACCTTGACAAGTGCGAGTTGGTGGTTTTTGGTGCCCCAAACACGCAGCTCCTTCGGCCGCACTTCCCTGCCAACCTGCTGCAACGGCCCGATGGGTCCAGCCGTGTCCTCGTCAATAACTTCGAGTTTCTGGGTGCAGCAATTGGGGAGGACAGCTACATTTGCGCCCACACTGCGGCGCGGGCAGCCAAGGCTGGCGAGCTGCTGGAGGGTTCGCTCGCGTGGTCCATAGCATGCGCTGCAACCCTCCGTGTGCCCAGGCCGCTGCCCTGGCCACTTTCGATGGCCACGTGCAACGGTGCTTCGGTGATTTGACCGGCCTTCACCTTACTGCTGGGCAGTGGCGACAGGCTGCACGGGGGGTTGGGCAGGCGGGCTTGGGCTTGCGCGCTAGCTTGGTGCATGCCCCAGCTGCCTACTTGGCGTCGCTTGGAGCAAGCTTGGCCGATTGTGCTGACATTGATCGTGCTTTTTCTGCCCAGGCCGTTCACGGGTCGCCTGCTGTGGCCGCCGCACTGCGGGCGCTGAATCGGGAGCTGCCCCAAGACTCAGCCCTGTCCCTGTGCGAAGCCTTGGCGGCCAAACAGCGTGCGCTTTCGGAGCGTGTGGACCTGGCCGGCTGGGAAGCGCAGCTGGCGCAAGCCTCCTTGGTGGAAAGGGCGGTGCTCCGCTCGGAAGCTGGCCTCGGGGCCAGGGCCTTCCTGGCAGCTACGCCCTCCGGTCGGACACGGCTCGAACCAGCAGTTTTCTGCGCTGAGTTGCGCTTTCGTTTGGGGGTGCCCGATGCTGCGGAGGACTGCTGGTGCCCCCTTTGTGATGGTGTGCTGGACCGACATAGCCACCACGCTGCGACTTGTGTTGCTGGTGGAGAGCGCACTCTGCGCCACAACTCTGTCCGGGATGTCCTCTACACCTGGTTGGACCGGGCGGGCTTCCGTCCCGAAAAGGAGCGCCCGGGGTTGCTCCTGCCCCACTTGGCTCGTCGGCGACCAGCTGACATTTACGTGCCTTCCTTAGCCGGGTCCCCTGCCGCGCTTGACTTCGCCATCACGGCGCCCCAGCGGCAAGAGACCTTGGCTTTGGCGGGTCAGGAGGCTGGAGCAGCAGCGGCCGCGTATGCCCGACACAAGGAGGACCACCAGAGCACTGCACGAACGTGTGAGGCTCAGGGGGTCACCTTCGTGCCCATGGTGGCAGAAACGACGGGCAATTGGGATGCTGGGGCTGCCGTCGTCATCAAGCACGTCGCTCGCGCTGTAGCAGCCCGCACTGGGGAGATGCCAAGTCTGCTACATTCCCTCTTGTTGCAGGAGCTGTGTGTGGCGGCTCGGTCCCACCGGGCAAAGGCTGCTCTGAGGCGGCGGCTCGCTACGACTGCGCTCGGGGATACCTAGGTGGGATGTTGGCCTGGATGGTCCTGAGTCCTGAGATCCTATGCAGCAGCTGCGGTCGGGAGGACCCGCCGTAGGGGGACGGGGCGGTGGATGGGCTCAGCCGCGTCTTCCGCCCGCGGTTCCGAGGGGACGTCACTGCTAAGCTACCGCACGGGAAGTGAGCTCGTTCTGAGGCCCCATGAGGCAAAGCATCCTCGCATTCCTGCTCTCAGAAGGGCATCTTCCATACATGGGGTGCTTCCCTATATGCACTCATGTCTGGCTCGGACATGTTTGTTTGTTTGTTTGTTCCTGCAAAGTCCTCAGATGCAGTTGGGGTCCGGGCCTGAGCTCAATGTAGCTCTTCCGGCATTTGCAGGAGGGTTTCAGTTTTCTTTGGTTTTCCTGGTCTGCTTGTTCTGGATGCCTCCTCACAGACCAAGCTTGAAGTATCTTGCGAGCCCGGCCTTCCCCCAATACTAAATTACGAGCCCGGGCCTTCCCCCAATACTAAATTACGAGCCCGGGCCTTCTGCCAATACTAAATTACGAGCTCGGGCCTTCTTTTCTTGCCAGACTGGTCTCCCCGTGCCCCCCCCTCCCCAAACTATTCGAACTATTCGAAATTATTCGAACTATTCGAACCCCCTTGGTTCGAATTTTCGAATAGTTCGAATAGTTTGAATAGTTTGGGCGCCCCAGGCCGGGCCCCAAACTATTCGAACACCCCCCCTCCCAATACTAAATTATGAGCCCGGGCCTTCTCCCAGAACTAAATTACGAGCCCGGGCCTTCTCCCAATACTGAATTACGAGCCCGGGCCTTCCCCCAATACTAAATTACGAGCCCGGCCTTCCCCCAATACTAAATTACGAGCCCGGGCCTTCCCCCAATACCAAATTACGAGCCCGAGCCTTCCCTTCCTTTCCAGACTGGTCTCCCCGGCCCCCCCCCCCCAAACTATTCGAACTATTCGAACTATTCGGGATTATTCGGACCGAACAGTTCGAATAGTTTGAATAGTTTGGGCGCCCCAGGCCAGGCCCCAAACTATTCGAACACCCCCCCTCCCAACACTAAATACGAGCCCGGGCCTTCTCCGAATACTAAATTACGAGCCCGGGCATTCCCCCAATACTAAATTACGAGCCCGGGCCTTCTCCCAATACTAAATTACGAGCCCGGACCTTCCCCCACGAGCCCGTGCCTTCCCCCAATACTAAATTACGAGCCCGTGCCTTCCCCCAATACTAAATTACGAGCCAGGGTCTTCTCCCAATACTAAATTACGAGCCAGGGCCTTCCCCTCCTTTCCAGACTGGTCTCCCCGGCCCCCCCCCCAAACTATTCGAACTATTCGAACTATTCGAAATTATTCGAATAATTCGAATAATTTCGAATAGTTCGAATAGTTCGAATAGTTTGGGCGCCCCAGGCCGGGCCTCAAACTATTCGAACACCCCCCTCCCAATACTAATTACGAGCCCGGGCCTTGTCCCAATACTAAATTACGAGCTCGGGCCTTCTCCCAATACTAAATTACGAGCCCGGGCCTTCCCCCAATACTAAATTACGAGCCCGGCCTTCCCCCAATACTAAATAACGAGCCCGGGCCTTCCCCCAATCCTAAATTACGAGCCCGGGCCTTCCCCCAATACTAAATTACGAGCCCGGGCCTTCTCCCAACACTAAATTACGAGCCATGGCCTTCCCTTCCTTTCCAGACTGGTCTCCCCGGGCCCCCCCCCAAACTATTCGAACTATTCGAACTATTCGAAACTATTCGAACTATTCGAACCCCCTTGGTTCGAATAGTTCGAATAGTTTCAAATAGTTCGAATAGTTTGAGTAGTTTGGGCGCCCCAGGCCGGACCCCAAACTACTCCCAATACTAAATTACGAGCCCGGGCCTTCCCCCAATACTAAATTACGAGCCCGGCCTTCCCCCAATACTAAATAACGAGCCCGGGCCTTCCCCCAATCCTAAATTACGAGCCCGGGCCTTCTCCCAACGCTAAATTACGAGTCATGGCCTTCCCTTCCTTTCCAGACTGGTCTCCCCGGGCACCCCACCCCCCTAAACTATTCGAACTATTCGAACTATTCGAAATTTTTCGAACTATTCGAACCCCCTTGGCTCGAATAGTTCGAATAGTTTGGGGCACTAGTTTTGTGCGGCATTTGCAGGACTTTTGCAGGGCGCCAAGGGGATCCCGGCAAATTTCGACCCGCAAAGTTGTTCCTACCCGTTCCCGGCATTTGCAGGACTTTTGCAGGGCGCCAAGGGGATCCCGGCAAATTTCGACCCGCAAAGTTGTTCCTACCCGTTCCCGTTTTGCGTGGTACTTGAAGAACTTTCCAGGGTGCCAAGGGGATCCCGGCAAATTTCGACCCGCAAAGTTGTTCCTACCCGTTCCCGTTTTGTGTGTTATTTGCGGGACTTTTGCAGGGCGCCAAGGGGATCCCGGCAAATTTCGACCCGCCAAGTTGTTCCTACCCGTTCCCGTTTTGTGTGGCATTTGCAGGACTTTTTCAGGGTGCCAAGGGGATCCCGGCAAATTTCGACCCGCAAAGTTGTTCCTACCCGTTCCCGTTTTGTGTGTTATTTGCGGGACTTTTGCAGGGCGCCAAGGGGATCCCGGCAAATTTCGACCTGCAAAGTTGTTCCTACCCGTTCCCGTGTTGTGTGGTATTTGCGGGACTTTTGCAGGGTGCCAAGGGGATCCCGGCAAATTTCGACCCGCAAAGTTGTTCCTACCCGTTCCCGTTTCGTGTGGTATTTGTAGGACTTTTGCAGGGTGCCAAGGGGATCCCGGCAAATTTCGACCCGCAAAGTTATTCCTACCCGTTCCCGTTTTGTGTGGTATTTGCGGGACTTTTGCAGGGTGCCAAGGGGATCCCGGCAAATTTCGACCCGCCAAGGTGTTCCTACCCGTTCCCGTTTTGTGCGGTATTTGCGGGACTTTTGCAGGGTGCCAAGGGGATCCCGGCAAATTTCGACCCGCAAATGTTGTTCCTACCCGTTCCCGTTTTGCGTGGTATTTGCGGGACTTTTCCAGGGTGCCAAGGGGATCCCGGCAAATTTCGACCCGCAAAGTTGTTCCTACCCGTTCCCGTTTTGTGTGGTATTTGCGGGACTTTTGCAGGGTGCCAAGGGGATCCCGGCAAATTTCGACCCGCAACGTTGTTCCTACCCGTTCCCGTTTTGTGCGGTATTTGCGGGTCTTTTGCAGGGTGCCAAGGGGATTCCGGCAAATTTTGACCTTTGGGGGCCCCAGGCCGGCGCGAACCCCCCTTCCTCCCAAACTGGTCTCCCCGGGGACCCCCCAAACTAGTCGAACTATTCGAACTATTCGAAACTATTCGAACTATTCGAACCCCCCTGGTTCGAATAGTTCGAATAGTTCGAATAGTTTGGGGCACCAGCCCTCGCCCCCAAACTATTCGAACTATCCGAACCCCCCTGGTTCGAATAGTTCGAATAGTTTGGGGTACCAGGCCGGGCCCCCAAACTATTCGAACTATTCGAACCCCCCTGGTTCGAATAGTTCGAACAGTTCGAATAGTTTGGGGCACCAGGCCGGGCCCCCAAACTATTCGAACTATTCGAACCCCTCTGGTTCGAATAGTTCGAATAGTTTCGAATAGTTCGAATAGTTCGAATAGTTTGGGGGCCCGGCCTGGGGCCCCCGCACTATTCGAACTATTCGAACCCCCCTTCCTCCCAAACTGGTCTCCCCGGGGACGCCCCAAACTATTCGAACTATTCGAACTATTCGAAACTATTCGAACTATTCGAACCCCCCTGGTTCGAATAGTTCGAATAGTTCGAATAGTTCGAATAGTTTGGGGGCCCCAGGCCGGGCCCCCAAACCATTCAAACTATGCGAACCCCCCTTCCTCCCAAACTGGTCTCCCCAGGCAACCCCCAAACTATTCGAACTTTTCGAACTATTCGAAACTATTCGAACTATTCGAACCCCCCTGGTTCGAATAGTTCGAATAGTTCGAATAGTTTGGGGCACCAGCCCTCGCCCCCAAACTATTCGAATTATTCGAACCCCCCTGGTTCGAATAGTTCGAATAGTTCGAATAGTTTGGGCCTCCAGGCCGGGCCCCCAAACTATTCGAACTATTCGAACCCCTCTGGTTCGAATAGTTCGAATAGTTTCGAATAGTTCGAATAGTTCGAATAGTTTGGGGGCCCGGCCTGGGGCCCCCACACTATTCGAACTATTCGAACCCCCCTTCCTCCCAAACTGGTCTCCCCGGGGACGCCCCAAACTATTCGAACTATTCGAAACTATTCGAACTATTCGAACCCCCCTGGTTCGAATAGTTCGAATAGTTCGAATAGTTCGAATAGTTTGGGGGCCCCAGGCCGGGCCCCCAAACCATTCAAACTATGCGAACCCCCCTTCCTCCCAAACTGGTCTCCCCAGGCAACCCCCAAACTATTCGAACTTTTCGAACTATTCGAAACTATTCGAACTATTCGAACCCCCCTGGTTCGAATAGTTCGAATAGTTCGAATAGTTTGGGGCACCAGCCCTCGCCCCCAAACTATTCGAATTATTCGAACCCCCCTGGCTCGAATAGTTCGAATAGTTCGAATAGTTTGGGCCTCCAGGCCGGGCCCCCAAACTATTCGAACTATTCGAACCCCCCTGGTTCGAATAGTTCGAATAGTTTCGAATAGTTTCGAATAGTTCGAATAGTTCGAATAGTTTGGGGGCCCCAGTCCGGACTCCAAACCATTCAAACTATTCGAACCCCTGTTTGAATGTTCAGAAAAGACGCATGGTCACATAATACAGGAAGGTTCCTCGTACATATATATATATATATGTATATATATATATATATATGGTGCAGCGTCGCTGCCCCCCCCACCCCACCCAACCCCATCAGTGCGGCCCACCCCACCCACCAGCCCCCACCCCCCCCCCCTTCTTCCAGCCCCACAGCCGCCCCGCCGCCACCAGCCCCCCCACCCCCCCCACCCCTCCCCCCCCCACCCC